TGCTTGGTGTTAACTGCTGAGCTAAATCCCCAGCCCACATCGTGCTGTCTTATATCAATGATCCATTCATTCTTTAATACAACCCCACGGGAAGAGTATTTCACAGATGGGTAAACTAAGGCCCAAAGAGTTCAAGTGACAAACAATTGCTCCTGCTAGGAAATGACAGAGGATCTGAGGCTAAACAGAGCTGGCTGTGGGAGCCCAAGCTCTCTTCACCATTCTGTTTTCCTCATCATAGAAATACACCTCCGAGGAAGTCTTGGTGAAAAGGTATTAGAGAGCTCCAGTTTTGCTAAGCTCTCGTGAATTCTTCTACCTTCCAGGAAGGTAAATGCAGCTGCTATGAAAGAAAGAATATTTTTAAATTTTATTGCACTGCTGCTGCAGCAATCCTGAAGTGTAGAAGACACACGACCCAGGCTTCTTTCCTCATGGCGGGAGTTAGGATTTTAGGGCTGTGTCCTCTTTTTGGTGGTGCAGAGACTCACCAGTTTGGAAAGCCCTTTCAGGTGGTGTTGACTCCAACCTCCTGCCCCACTACCACACCAGCTAATGTCTATGCACTGAGTCGGACAGACGTCTCTATCTAGGGAGCCTCATTCTGACACTAGGGAGAGGCGAATCTATTTGTAGCATGTTTGTTGTTCAGCTACATTGATCAGAATCTTCTGCATATATGTCAGCGCTCAACAGGGGCTGAGAGAGTGCTAATCTGTTGTTGGCTTTGGACCTGTTTATTCATTCAATCAATGTACCTAACATCCACCGAACATCTCCTACATCCTGGTTCTCTATGAGAGCATGTCTGCTGAGGGGAACACAGAACACCAAAATGACCCCTTCGTCGACCCCTATAGCCCATTCAACAGATTTTATCTTTCGGATATGGAGAAAGGTTTGACCCAGACAAGAAGGCTCTCTCTCTTCCAGAAAAATGTGGTCCTTCGTCTCCAGGTCAAGCACTGTCTGTGACCCTCAGAACATTGGCTCTTAACCACAGGCTGTCGGAAAAGTGCCTTCCAACTGTCCCTCACTCTGTTCCCCAGGACAGAGTCAGCACAAATGTACTAACTGAGCTCTTGGCACTGAGGGGAGTCTCAAATTAAATGGTTCAAAGGCATTATTTTCTCCCTTACAATTTGGCCATCTTTCCCGTGGTGCAGTAAAATCTCCAGTGCTTGGAATTTATGATCCTTGAGACAAGGACTGGGCTGAAGTCTGCTTCTGGACTATTCTGCATAGAAAAGATTTTCGAAGAAAATTAATAGCTTGCCAAAAGAATTGTAAAGAGAACGCTTACTCCATTTAAGGGGGTCACTGTTCTAACCCTTTAAAAACCCTCATGTATCTGTAAACAATTCATATGCTAATTTCAAATGATTTTTACATGTTCAATAAGGCTCTAGCTACAAGTATTGGTCGATATGATTATTATGCTTTGAGCTGGCTTCAAACACTAGGTTTTTACTGAGCCAAACTTCTTAGGTACAAACTTTTCTAAGCCAAGCAATTAACAAAGGAAATTAAGTTAACACCAAGCAGCATGAGTACTCTTCTTTGGTGATGATAGAAGAGGTCTCTCTACACTTCAGGTATCTTATAATTCATGTTTGGCTTTCATCCAGCTGATGCAGGGTAAGGTTTGGCTATGATAACCCACAGCCCATTTGCATGGGATAATCTCTGCTAGCTTTTTCCATCCTGAAATCATTCCTAAAACAATTCTTTTATAAAGACTTCTTCATATGTGTTATAAATTATACAGTCGCTGTAGGTTTGATAACATAAATTAAAGTTGTGATTTCACAAGGAGTTGGCACTTTTATTTGACTGGCAAAACCTGGTCTTCCTTATACAAACCAAAAGAACAGTCCATCAGGATATTGTGCCAATCAATTCAGAATCAGACATCTCTTCATGGTGCCCCTGCCCCTAACTAGATGAGAAAGCAGTTAACTTTTCCGGAGTTCCATCCTCCAATCTACCCCATGCATCAATTCCATCTCAATGTACTAGCTTGTCAGGAGTTGAAATCCTGAAATGTTCACTGTCAGCATTATTGGAAAGAGAAATGGGGTAGACAGAAAAAGCACAATGCCAGAGGAGCTGTGGACCTTCTTCTTTGTTACAGGAACTATGTCTATTAAACAGGCACCCCACCCTCCCAGGGTAGAAAGTGCTTGAACGGACTCAATTGTCACAGCACCATCTGTCTCCTGGAGTAAATGTTATTACTTCTGTTCTCAAGCTGACCAGAGAGGTAAAGCCACAAGCTCAGGATGCTCGGTAAACCGGCTGAGTTCCAGGTTGTCTTCCCCTAAAGTCAGCCCTTAACCGATCGATCGATATGATATACTGTCTCCTACTTTGCTCCACTGTTCTGACATTTGAGTCAGACATCTGCTTGGAATTTGATCCATTGTAAAGGTATTGCCTCATCAAGTATGCCTCACAGAGGGGAGAGGAAGACAGGGGAGGGTTGAGGGGGATTTGTTTGGAATGCAGTTGTATGATGTACCCATCTTGCTGTGACATCAACCAATTGCAACTACCATTCCAGTGATAAATTATCCTCAGAGAGAGACTTAAAACATCCTAGGGAAGCTCAACCAGGGAGCCTTGCTTACCTACAAACAAATATTAAGTAATGCAACCAACAGGACTGGCTAGTGGTTCTCTGGCCTCCTCCCCCACCTTCCTGCAGTTACTTGCCCTGGTCTGCTGATTGTGAGCTGAGAGACCTTTCCGATGAGACCAAATCCTCAGCTTGACTCTGAAGGAAATTACAGAGGCTCTCCTGGTCCTTTTTTTTCCTATGGACTCCTCTTTGGAAATATGAGGTTTCTACCCTTAAGTATGTATAGAACATTGGAAAGGAAGTAGAAATTGACAGTCACTGGATGAGGCTGGATTGGGTGAGAATGGAGTGATTCAGGTTTTATAACCAGTTTGTTAAAGTCAACTCAATTCCAGCCTTTTTCCTGAGGACTTGACTATAAATATTCCCTGCTCATTCTTCACCTCAAACCTAGAGAAACATCTACACATCTGAAATCTGTCCTACAGAGAGGGCACGCCTGTCACAGAAGTATTGAACAGAATCTTTCTAGCATGACATAAACAGAGGTTTTATAGCTCAGACTTTTACCTTAGGGGTTTGTGGGAGGAATGACACGCAGGGTATTAAAAAGACATCAATAGTGAAACGGTACCAGGAGAGTGTGTCTGCGTGTGTAGTATGTATCACAGATAGATTAAATGTCCCAGACAGTTTAAACTAGAAATAGTCAAAAGCTTCAGAAAGGATGAGGTTAGACAATTCATATAATTGAGACTATGACCCCCAAAAAAGGGTACCTGAGAAAGACAGACCATGAAACTACACAGCACAGTAGACATTATACATACTTTTCTGAATTTTCTTTTCTCCCTCTCAATCCCTAACGTAGATGGAAACCTGGACCAAATGCCACATTTCCAGCCTCTACAAAAATTTCCCCTAGTCCCTCCTACAAGGGCATTTTCTTTGGTCAATGCAGCACCTGCCTGGCCAACGGTAGGTGTATTCCAAACGTGGAGAGGATGCAGACAACCAGGAAGATAAAAGTGCTGACGTCAAAACTGTCTACAAAGAACCACCTCCTGAGAGCAGCACCAGCTCTTAATGACACTTGATGTTACCGATCCCCTTCCCCATTTAGCACATACTGGGGTCCCTCTCCTTCCCCTCCGCAAATATCAGCTGCTGTTTGTAGCCTGCTGCACCCCACTAGTCTGCTGTGCTTCCTGTTCATCCCCTTTCCCAACATGGGACATCCATTTTTCTAAAAAACTATACGAGCTTCTATTATACTGGGAAAAAGTTCCCCAGTATGGATCTGATTTTTCAGGTAGGACTCCTCACACCCACTGGAAAGTTCAGATTTTGTTGGAGCAGACCGAGCATTCTGCTCACAGCACTTCCCCAGGCATAATTCCAATCCATTCTTTAATTCAGTCTGCCAAGGTTAATAAATCCTCCAAGCCACCCCCCCCATCTACTGCTTCTTTTATGAATCACTCACCTAACAGTTGCAAATGATGAGTTTTCATATGGTTTTGGGTTTTTATTTTCCTGGAAGGAGGGCACAGCCTTCTTCCTCTCCTCCCCAAACTCCTCTAAATTGAATAATTTATGAAAAGAACTGGGTTTTCTCTCTTAGAATGCTTGTTTTCCCTCAGTCTCCTTTCTATCCCACACTCTGTCTTTCCTTTCTACCTTTACGTCCCCCTGCCATTATTTTTACCACTACCCAAGGATGCATTCTCACTCCTGAGTTCCAAGCAACCAGATTCTTCTTGAAAACCCCAAATGAAACTCTTTCAAGACCATCTTTATGATCTTGGAAGGCTCCTCCCTGACTCTTGAGCGTACAGTCCTGATTTTGGATGCTGGAGAGGAGAGAATCCAGCAGCAGCCAGAAAGGCTTGGAGAAAAGTGCTGTTTGGGGTGTATTTGAAGGAACAGCATATGGGCTTTTTGTCAAAATGCTCAGAGCTCGCTAGTTTCTGAGCTGAGGACAGAAATGTGCTGCCACCGCTAAACACTGTCTGAGCTGGTTCAGTTCTCATCTTCTCTTGTATAAAAATCATCCCAGCTATTTCAGATCCCTCATCCTTTTGCCCCCTGCCCTCTGAGCTACGTGATGCCAAGAAAAGTTTTTCAGTCAAGTTGTACCCCAGCTGCACCATCCATCCCAAGAAAGCAAAACCTCTCGCATACAAACTATGGGGTACATGCTGAGCACTGCCCCCTCCTCCTCCAAAGCATCTCTGACACTTCTCAGAGCTTTTTCCTCACAAGCAATTAGTTCCCCTGTTCCAGCTGGGGATTACAAGTAGTGACAGAAACAGCAGGCGCTCCGGCCCAGCTGCCTGCACCCACCCTTTAGGGTTCTGGAAAACAGGCCAGAAAGGGGAACCTTCTGGGTCTCCCCTGCTAAGAACGAGGTTATTACCTTGGCAGCGGCTTGCGAGCCGTGATACTAGCAACGATGATGCTCTCGGGACGAGGAGTGGCCACCGCTTTGAAGGTTCCTCGCCAGAACTTCTCAAAAAGCTGCTTCTCGCCCTGCTGAACGCTCGCCATAGCCAACCCAAAGGGGCCGGGGCGTCCGGGTGCTGTCCGAAGTGCTGAAACGCGGGTTCCAAACTGGGGGCACACCCGGTTCAGGGCGCTGTCCGCGCAAAGCCCAGAGGGGTGGGGTGGGAGAGACGGAGTTCCGGGCGGGGGATGGGGCGCTCCGGTCTGGGCAGGCAGCAGAGAAAGGAGGCTTGTCCGCCGGCTTTCTTCGCCTTCTGGGTCGGCTGCGGGCTCCTCTCTAAGCTTGCTGCTCCGCGCCCCGGGAAGGGAAAGGAGGGCTGGCTTTCTCGGCAGCGCCAGGAGGGAAGAGGCGACCTGGTCTGCTGTGTGTGCGTGCGCGTGTGAGCTCCGGCGCGCCCGGGTTTTGTCTCCTGCACAATGTGACGTTGGAAGAGGAGGCTGGTCGCGCGAGCTGCACTTTCCTCCCCCCTCCGCTGCCTCTCCTCCTCCCCACCCACCGCCCTCCTCCCCGGGCTCAGCCTCCCGCCGCCATCTGCATAACAAAAGCCCGCAGGTCTTGGGAGGAGACAGGGCGGGGCCTGCGCCTGTCACCAAGGCCCCGCGGCCAAGGAGTTGCAAGGCTGTCCCCTCGGAAAAGCAATCGTAGTACCCTGAGCTGGACCGGCAGGAAATTCTGCTTCCCTCCTCCAGCATCCTGGGCATTTCTCCAGCCCTTCCTGGCTTCCCCTCGGGGCTCCAGCCCCTTCCATCCCAGCCCCTTGGGGTCTGTGGATGGGGCGAGTGAAAAACTTGACCTCTAGCCTCAGGCCAAACTGCCCCCCAACGCACACTTTCTGGAAGGGATCGCCGGAGTCCTCAAAGGGGGTCTCCTGCGCTGTTCTTTGAGGCTGGGGTCCTCACCACCCAGAAGGTGCTCTTGGTGGACAATGCGTCGCCGGTTCGGCCTCTAGCCATCTGCCTAGCCCGCCTCCACCCGCGCAGCGCTACATCTGTGCCTGCAGCGCTGGAAAGGGAGTCTCTTTTGTGCCTCTCAGCCAGCCTGCTCCAAGTCCCTGCTGCCAAACGCGTCCAAAGCAAGAGTACCCTTCCCACACACCCCTTCCACTCCTAGGGGATTCGGCGACAGCCACTTTTCTTAACACAGCTTGTCTCGGGAAAGGAGGCTGTTTTGGAAAAGACAGTGCTTGAGGAGAGGTGAGGGCCCAGATCAGGGGGTTACAGGAGAACTTTTTGGTCTTTTCTCCTCCTTTCTATTTCCTTTTCCCCCTTCCCTCAGCCCCAACCTCCAGTCAACCTAATCTCAACAAGGGGGAGTTCAGGATCCCAAGTGAACTCCAGACTGAGTCTAGGTAGGTTTTCTTTTGTTTTCCCTAGGATTTTCATTTGCGGGACCCCTCAGGCCATCTCTCCCCTGGGGAATTTCAATATCAGTAGAATTGCTTTTTCCTCCCACCCTCGGGTTTGCAAACTAAAGGAAGGAGGCCTCTCAGAACCTCATAGGCCTCCAAACACAGGGCCACGGGTCCCAGTCTCAGTGGGAATAAATCTATGGTTCTTGCTGACACTGGTAGCTTGGGGATCCATGGGCTAGGACATCCAGTAAACTTCAGAACTTGTCTGAAAGGGAACAGAAGGTAAACGGTGGCGGGGGTCGCGGGCGGGGGAAAGAGGGGGTTAGAGGAGTAAGAACGCTGGAATAAAACAGCATCAGCCGGAAGTGTAATAGGTTTAGTTTGTGTGTTTTCGTTGTGTGCAGCTTCCGAGTGCCAGAACGCGCTGCTCGCTCTGCAGTGACCCCATCTGGTCAACAGCTAGAGATGTTTTCGTTGGCTTCTGCAGGCCACGGCTGCCAGGAGGTGGGGTTAGGGCTGGGATGCTTGCAAGCAGAAGGAAGTGGAGAGCCTGTGCTCTCGCTGCCCGCTCCACACCGATCCTTAACTGCTCCTAAGCCCTGTTTCCCACCCTGAAGTTAGTAAAACTTTAAATGCTGATAGGAGCCACCTCCTTAGGTAGCCTGGGACATTTAAAACTATCCTTAGTCTTCATATTTGGAATATGAACTGAACCACTGGGAGAAGGGGTAGGAGGCTCCACCTCCCTAAAATCAATCAACAGCTCCCAACTGCATTGCTGTTCTTAATTTCTAGAAAGTTGACAGAGCTTCCAAGGGCACAGCATTGCCTCTTTTGAATCTGACAGCAGCAGGTGAGGTGGGAGAGAAAGCTGCTCTTACCAACCCCGCCCCTTTTGTGGTATTATGGACTGAAATTTGGACCTTCTCACTGAGATATTCTATTGTTTGCTTTTGCTCTTGTTTTTAGACTGAGTCTCCTTAAGTTGCCCGAGACTGCAGGCTGTGCACCACCACACCTGGCTTCTTACATCCTATTAAAGGTGAGGAAGTTGAAGTGCAGGATGGCTAAGTAGCGTGCTCATCATTACTTGATGGAGAGCAAAGGAAGTCTGTAAAAAATATAGTTTCTGTTTCTCCTTGGAGGGGATGGGAATCTTTGGGATAGCAAGCATTCCAGGGTAGAAGCATGCAGAATGTATCAGATACCAAGGAGCCATATAGTTAGAGGCATATCACGTTAGTAGTGATGGCAAACCTTTTAGTTTCCAGTGATACAAACAGCCTACTGTGGCATGCACATCATAGGTTCACCTCCACTGTCTGAGGCTTCTGAGTTGGGAACTACCTGTACTAAATTTAGGAATTAAGAATTAGTCTTTTGGGGTTCAAATTCCAGCCCTTCCATTTCTCAGTTGTGTAATCTTGAAGAAATGACTTCACTTATTCATGCTTAAGTTTCTTCATCAGCAATGTGAAGATTCTCTAAAGATTAAGTATATGTGTATAAGCTGGGAATGGTGGTGCCTGCCTGTAATTCTAGCACTCAGGAGGCTGGAGAATCATTGCAAGCTCAAGACCAGCCTGCTACAAAATGAGCTCAAGGCCAGTCTGAACTGTATAGTGAGGCCCTGTCTCAAAAAGACAAAACAAAAAATAAATAAATATTTTAAAAATATATGTGGAGAAGCTGCAAAGATTAGAAGAATTAACACATGTGCAGGCTACAGATCAGTGTCTAGAGACACCATTTCCTAAAGAATACCAATTATTATTTGAGCAGTTAGGAACATAGTGTCTGGAGTTGGAGTAAAACCAGGATATGAAACCCAGCTCTGCCACTTTTAGATAGATAATCCTGGGTTAATGATAATAATGATCAGTTTCCCCACCTGTATAGTGGGACATTATTGCATATTTAATGTGGTTTCTAGGAGGATTAAATAAAATAGTACTTCCAGAGTGTCCATTACTTCATTGAATGACTTTTAAATCAGAGGTCCTGGCTCTTGTTAGGAATCAGGTCACACAGCAGAGGCAAGCGATGGGGATGCAAACAGAGCATCATTTGTATTTATAGCTGCTCCCCATGGCTCCATTACCACCTGAGCTCCATCTTCTCTTCCCCTGTGAACTGCCCATGCCAGGCATCTAGGTTACAAGCTCCTCCGAATCATTCCTAAACCCTCCACCCTCCACTGCCGCACCCCTCAATCCCTGACCTGTCCATGGAAAAACTGGAAAATTTATTTTCCATAAAACCAGTCCCTAACACCTAAAAGACTGGAGACTGCTTACAATGGCAGCTGTTATGACTGACGCTGTGAAAATCATCACATGTTAATATTTTAAGCCAGGTCATGTCAGTCCAGCAGTTACTCAGTGATCCCTGGTCTTGGATCTAGGCAAAATCTTGGGTAAGGAGACACAGTCCCTTTCCTGGAGGGGTTCACAGTAAAATTCACCTTCTGGGTCCTTGTTGCCTAACATTTGTCTCTTTTCCGTATTATCACAGTGAGTTAGACTTTAGTTCTGGTGTTGTTAATGTAACTCAATTCCTCCATCACTTTATCACAGCATATCTCTCCATGTCTCATTCCCTCAGAGTATTGCTTTTCAGTTTTATAGGTAAAAGCCAGCCCATCCCATAAGCTAAGACCTATCAATATGCTGGTTAATGAATATAAACGCATGGCATAATTGCTCCTTATCTTCTGTCCTCTGCCAATAGCAGGCATCACTAATTCATCTGAGAATCCTTCTCAAAATACTCTTTAAGACAGGCATGACTAATTGGTTGGAGCTGGCATTCTAGCTAAAATCAGTTTGTCATTCTTTTCTAGAGGTTGTTTCTTCATCTGATGGGTATTGTTTTCATTATGCAGAGGTGAAACCAGGGAAATGTAATTCTAGAGTTTGCAAATCGAGGCACACTAGAGGAGTAGCTAAAGAGATTTGTATTGGTCAGCTTTCCCTTCACTGGTACAAAATATGCAACATCTGCACTTTAAAAGGAGGAGAGTTTTAATTTAGCTTACAGTTTCAGGAGATTTAGGCCATGGTTGACTGGCTCCAAGGCAGAAACATCATGGTGGCTGAGAAGCAGAATAGGGGAACAGTGCCAGCAAAGAGGGGACAAGGGGCCAGGAGTACTCAAGGCACACTTATATAACCCACCCAGCCACACCCAGAAGTCTGCTCCACTAATTCCCTAGGCAGCTGTCAAGCCAATCAAGTTGACAATCAAGTTTAACCTTCACAACATCCTCTAGTGATCCAAAGAGGTAGCTGCTCCAGCTCAGCTCAGAAAAATAGCTACCTTCCCTCTGGAAGCAGTTGCAGTTCCAAACCTAATGTTACTGTGTTACCTTGGGTAAATCTTCTCATCTCTCTGTGTACTGGACTTCTCTGAGTACAATGAGGCTAATCATTATCTACCATCACCAAGGGATTTCAGAGAACTTGACAGTCTGCACCCATTTTCAAAAGTCCAGTGAACAGTGAAAGAGTCAAATAATTACTGAGATAATGGGAAATATGATAATGAGGCCAATCTGTCTTTGTGCCTTTGAACAAGATCATGCTGAATCGTTAAAATTTTAAGATTCTGAATTTCTTCATATAAACATTTGGGGACAATATTATTGTACCATTCAGGGTTTATCAGTCCTTGCTTTTAGAAAGCTCAACCTTGTGTCTAATCTGAATCTTGCCTCTGCTATTTATTATCTATTCCTCTTCTAGAAACTCTAAATGTCTTTGTGCTAACCACACAAACCAAGAGTATTCCTTACCTCTTTACATTTAGATTAGTAAATTCCCCAGAACAAAATTAGAACATAGTAGGAGAACAGTAAATATTGTTACAATGAGTAGATTCCATAAACAGTAGATGGCTATTCTAATCTATATATTCCTTTAGACTATACGTAATATGGTATAGTATTATACTCACATATTACAAATGAAAATATAAAATTCACTGTGTACTTATACTGTATACATTCATTTAGCTGTGCTCTAAGGAGAAAATATTTATTGCTCGTGATCTTAAATGGTACCTGTTACTGTTGATACTGTTGTAATCCCTATTAGAATGTTAAGCCAGATAATATTCAG